ATTTATAATGGGTTGAGCTTATTTTTAACACAAAAATTATAAAAATTATTAATATGAAAAAAATATAATTCTATTAATAATTATTTTTATCAGATTAATGATGTCCAAATATAATGTAAATGCTAATTGCATACTAACTAATATGAAAAAGCTCCAAAATATAGGTAATAGAATCATTAGCTAATTTCTTTTTTCTCTCTAGTCCTCTAACCCTAATTTTTCGTTTGGGATTGTCTCTGTTTACTGGCGATAGTCTCCTACTTTTTACTCTCTCTTTCGATTTATTTTGCTTAATAAACTCAAATCTGTTTTTTTCCTATAACAGATCTTTTTTTTTTTTTTTTTTTGTTTTTTTTTTTTTTTTTTTTTGGGTATGTCTCAAATTTTTGGAAGTTTTTTTGTTCATTCTTTTTTTTTTTTTTTTTTTTTTTGGGTATGTCTCAATTTTTGGAGTTTTTTTTGTTCATTCTTTGTGAGGGTAGTCCCTTCTTTGTGAGGGTTTATGATATTTGATTTTATTTGGTTGGAAACTTTAGATCTTGATTTTCATGTGTGGATCTCCAATCAATGTAGCCTAGTAGTGCGGCTTATTTCTTCATTGATGCTATTGATGTATAGTGGCGAAAACTCATCTGTGTTCGTCATATGTTACAAATTCTTTGAAAAACAATCCAGTTATAGAAGATCTAAAGGAGTTATTATTTTGACATCCAAATTAATTAACGGACTAGGTGCTGTTATGAAGATTTATATCTTTTGTTAAGATCAACTCTAAACAAAGATATCTAATATTATATTTTTTTTTAATTTTTGTTTCATTATTCAAAAGAATATGACTTCTTTTGATTTGTTAAAAGATGAGTAAACTCTATTAGCCACTAATAATAATAGAGTTCTATGTCTGGTCTATATGAATATTTATAATTCTTCATATTATTATTTATGAATTATATTTAAAAAAAGAAAGAATCATTAGCTAATTGAAACTTCTATCACTTATCAAGTGTTGGTAAAATCATTACCAAATATCTACAGTTTATCTGTTGGTTATGAAGATTAAGGGAATGCAAACAGATGATTCAATTTCGAACCTAACTAAAAACTGAAAATGAAATTAGTTTTTTTTTTTTTAACTGAACTGCACCAAAATAAATTAATTGAACTGAACCATTTATCCAAATTGGTTCACTTCGATTTGGTTGATGATTCTATTTTACCCACGAAATAATTATTTTTCAAGAATCGTTCTAAAGATTGGAAAAACAATTTATAGAAAATTAAAAATAGAAGCTGAACCTAAAATCAAATAACCCAACTAAAATTAACTCAGTTTGATTCGATCTTCAATATTTTTTAAAGTTTGCTGACTCCGAATGAAGGTAGGAATATAAATTAGTTGTACCAAACTTGCTCTCAATTCTATAAATGCTATATCAAATTTAGAAAGCAAGCACATCCAGTAAATCTTGATCACAAAAAACATAACATTCCAAATATTACCGATAAAACCTGCATATAGTTGGTGCATGAGACCACCTTGTACCAAGTCAATCAAATAATTATTAATATTTGGTAAAATTTTGATAATGCTTATGTAAAATGGATAATGACAATTAAAAGTATAATTATTTTTATATATCGTGATGTATAATATATATATTTTTATTTTTAGATGAATATATTATTTTTTATTTTAATATGTTATATAAATAGAAAATACTAACTAATTATCTTCAATAAACTATAAATAAAATGGTAAACATTATTAATATGAAAAAAAAATATAATTCTATTAATAATTATTTTTATCAAATTAATAATGTCCAAATAATGTAAATGCTAATTGCATACTAACTAATATAAAAAAGCTCCAAAATATAGGTGTAGAATCATTAGCTAATTTCTTTTTTCTCTCTAGTCTTCTAACCTTGGTTTTTCGTTTGGGACTGTCGCTGTTTACTGGCGGTAGCCCTTATCTCCTATTTTTTACTCTCTCTTTCGATTTGTTTTGCTTAATAAACTCAAATCTGTTTTTCCTATAACAGATCTATGTTTTTTTTTTTTTTTGTTGGTATGTTTTTTTTTTTTTTTGTTGGTATGTCTCAATTTTTGGAGTTTTTTTGTCCTTTCTTTGTGAGGGTAGTCCCTTCTTTGTGAGAGTTTATTACTAAATAAGATTATGATATATGATTTTATTTGGTTGGAAACTTTAGGTCTTGATTTTCATGTGTGGATCTTCTATCAATAGAGCCTGATAGTGCAGCTTATTTCTCCATTGATGCTATTGATGCATAGTAGCGGAAACTCATCTGTGTTCGTCATATGTTGCAAATTCTTTGAAAAATGATCTAGTTATAGAAGATCTAAAAGAGTTATTATTTTGACATCTAAATCAATTAACGGACTAGGTGCTGCTACAGAGATTTATATCTTTCGGAAACTCATCTGTGTTCGTCATATGTTGCAAATTCTTTGAAAAATGATCTAGTTATATAAGATCTAAAGGAGTTATTATTTTGACATCTAAATCAATTAACGGACTAGGTGCTGCTATAGAGATTTATATCTTTTGTTAATATCAACTCCAAACAGAGATATCTAATATTATATTTTTTAATTTTAGTTTCATTATTCAAAATAATATGAATTCTTTTGGTTTGTTAAAAGATGAGCGAACTCTGTTAGCTACTAATAATAATAGAGTTCTATGTTCGGTCTATACGAGTATTTATAATTCTTCATATTATTATTAATAAATTATATTTCAAAAAAAAAAAAAAAAAAAAAAAAAGAATCGTAGGCTAATTTCGAAACTAAAAAAAAAAAAAAAAAAAGAATCGTTAGCTAATTGAAACTTCTATCACTTATCAAGTGTTGGTAAAATCATTACCAAATATCTACAATTTATCTGTTGGTTATGAAGATTAAGGGTATGCAAACAGATGATTAAATTTCGAACCTAACTAAAAACTGAAAATGAAACTAGGTATTTTTTTTTGAACCGAACTGCACCGAAATAAATTAATCGAACTGAACCATTTATCCAAATTGGTTCACTTCGATTTGGTTGATGATTCTATTTTACCCACGAAATAATTATTTTTCAAGAATCGTTCTAAAGATTGGAAAAACAATTTATAGAAAATTAAAAATAGAAGCTGAACCTAAAATCAAATAACCGAACTAAAATTAACTCAGTTTGATTCGATCTTCAATGTTTTTTAAAGTTTGCTGACTCCGAATGAAGATAGGAATGTAAATTAGTTGTACCAAACTTGCTCTCAATTCTATAAATGCTATATCAAATTTCGAAACCAAGCACATCCAATAAATCTTGATCACAAAAAAATAACATTCCAAATATTACGGATAAAACCTGCATATAGTTGGTGCATGAGACCACCTTGTACCAAGTCAATCAAATAATTATTATTTGTTTTATCCATATTTTTTAAATGAATGGTCATGAATGTCTTTGTTTGAGAAAATGATTATTTTTCATTAATTTGATATATGAATGAGACTCATATATTGAGTTTGAATAATTCATTTTTAGATATTATAATAAATGCTGCTTTCAAAATAGCATTTCTAATTTTGGATATGGGTCTTACATTATCTAAGCAACTCAAATTGCATAATAGCATTTCTAATTTTGGATATGTGTCTTACACTATCTAAGCAACTCTAATTGCATTGTGATATGTACAATTCAAATATATATCACTTAAATTACACAGTTACTTTAAAAGGTTCAACGGATATCAACATTTATCAAACACTCTCGGACATAGATCAGACACTTTAAAAAATGCGTCCTATTATAAATCTTATTTAATAATTTTAAACTTGAGACGCTTTGAGCACACACTAGAGACACATTTAAAAATTTTATCATACCTTTAAATTAATTTATTATCAATTTGTTATTTTAATATATATATATATTATATATATATTATATATTTAATTATTAATACTTAAAATACAAAATTAAAAGGAATATATTAAAAAAAGAATTATTAATACTTAAAATACAAAATTAAAAGATATATAAAAAAGAATGAAAACTCTATCTTATAATTTACAATTTATTACATATCCCTATTAATATCAATGCAAGAACTAATTCACAGCGTTGATTTGAAATCATAAAAAAGAATCAGCAATATAATATTGAACAAACTAAAATGTGGAATATCGTTGGGATTATTTTGATCTTTTTTTTTTAAATGTTGAAATTTTTGCAAATTCATCTCTGAATAAATAAGATATGTTATGATTTTCAATCACGATGTTAATTTTCAGAATTTAATTAATTATGCTGAAATAAAAAATTAATTTATTTTATAATTTATTATAAATAATTGTTTATTAAATTATATTTATTTAATGTAATGTGTCGTAAATTTACCGATATTTTATTTTTAAAAAAATTATCGTTGTCTCATTTCCGTACGGTGTTGTATCTGGGGAACCTAAAAAATAAATAATCGATGGAAAAGGTGGCCGAATCAAGATACAACCATACTCCAGAAACCTACCTTCCACAACCTTCAACGGCAGAAATATATGCTAATTGCTTGCCGGAAGACAGATAAAGAAAGAATCCCCATTAAAAAAAACGCAAGCATTGTAGAATCCGTGAGAAATTAATTAATAACAAAAAGGAAACAAGAACCATCCAGATATTAATACGCGTTTTGCATTAAATTAAAGGACTATCTTTCTCTTTCTGACCGTTTCATTGTCTCAGTAATTTCCATTCAATCTGTTAAGAGTTTCTGTTACAATATTAATAATTAACCTCAAGTTGAAGATACAATACAGACACTCTAGGGTCAGTATGGTTAGGTTAGTCAATTCCATTACGTCCGCCAATCAATGAATCAATCAAGCTTTTTTTTTTTTTTTCTACAATCAATATTAATTCTTTCAGTCTAATATATACACACACACACACACACATGTATATATATATATACTCAAACGCTGGTTTTTCCTTTTCTTTCTTTTACATCATATATAATAGAAGAAGAAAGAAAGAAAGAATTGCTTGAATAGAAATCAAGAAATGGCAGAAGGAGGAAGGACCTTGGAATACACTCCAACATGGGTTGTTGCAGTTGTTTGTTGTGTTATCGTTGCTATTTCTCTTGCTGTCGAAAGGATCCTTCACTATCTTGGCAAGGCATGTCTCTTCTCCTTCTGTATATATTATCATTATCATGAGCAATCAAAGGAAATTCTTGTTTAGTAACCATCATTAATGTTTAATGCCATTTGAGTTTTGCAGTTATTGAAGAGAAAACAACAGAAACCTCTCTTTGAAGCCTTACAGAAGATCAAAGAAGGTGTAAATATATGTTAATTTCCGTATACAATATTTTTTTTTATTAACTAGATTGTACTATTTTTTATGGATTTAATGGGAAATCGTGTGTTTGTGATGTTTCAGAGTTGATGCTTTTGGGGTTTATATCACTGTTATTGACAGTGTTTCAAGGTAGTATTAACAAAATCTGCATAACGGAGGAATTGGCTAATAAATGGCTTCCTTGCAAGGAAGAATCTGATACTACTGGCACCACCGCGCACTATCAGACCTCGTTTTCTTTCATTTCCGGTGGTTCCCGCCGTCGCCTTCTGGCTGAGGAATCTAAATCTAGCTGTGCTGAGGTAATTCATTAAATTTTTTGGTCAAAATCCTTTTATTAGGGAATTCCCGATTTAGTAGGGAATTCGAGTATCACCAACACTCAATTGAATGTGAATACGAAATGCACTAATTTTCGTTTTCATCCTTAAATTTTTTATTCCTTTTTTCTATTTAAAATTTTATTTTCGAGAAATTCGAGCTAAAAAAAGTAAGAGTATATATATTGATTTTCGGAAGAGATTCGAGCTTAAAAACGCGAAGTAAGAGTATATATATATATATATTATATATATATAATATATTACTCTTTGTTTTGACATTCTGTTTCAGGTATTTAAGACACCAAAATATAAATAAATAACATTTAAATGATAAATCATTTCTATTGAGAAATAAAAATGCAAATAAAGTTAGTGAGAGTAGAAATATTACTATTTTAGACAGGTCTATGATTTCTTCTTAGTTGGGTGGTGCAATGAAGATTTTTAAGAGTTTTAATTTAATTTCAGTTGCCCACCAATTAATTGGATGTGAAGTCCACCCAACCTTTATTTTTTATATCTTTTCTTTCTTTTTTTTTTTTTTGTACATTTTTGAAAATTATTTTTTAAAAAATGACTGTTATAAATTTCTTTGCACGATATTTTTTTTTTTTTTTTTTTTTGGTACATTGAAAATATTTTTAAAAAATGACTTGTATAATTTCTTTTGCACGATAATTAAAATAATGAAAATAATGCCTTCCATGTCTAAATTAATCAGGATTTAATAATATGTTAGGTTGAAAATCTATTAAATATAATGCATGAACATGTCAGGAGTGAAAAAGACCCAGGTAAAAATCATTATTCTGTAAGACTTTCACACCATAGCTCCACTTGCACGCGCTTTGTTTGAAATTGCCTTGCATACACACACGCCTTTCATTGAAATTTCCTTTGAAAAAAATTATTAAGTGAATTGATTGTATTATCCTTAATTTATAATATCTAAATATTAAATTTAATTTTTTTTAGTTATTGTTAGTTATGTATAGAGAGTAAAAAAAAAAAATTATTATTTATTAAATTTACAAATATAACAACTATTTGGAAACACCATACTTTTTAAATGTAACAAATATTTCACAATGTAGGGAGTATTCAAATTTGGTCGCAATTGGACTCGATTTGAATGGTCTTAATTGCTAGATTAAAAAAGTAGAGTTATGTTAGATACCAAAGAGTCCAGTTGACAAGATTCTTTTACTAATTGGGGCTTAATGTTTATCTTAGGGTCTTTTGAGTAAAATTAGCTATTTTAGTAATTATTAGTTGTTTAGTAGTATTTATCTATTAGTTGTTTGAGTAGCATTTTATAAAATGCTAAAACTTAAACGTTACGTGAGTTAATTTTTTTTATAAAATACTACATTAACCTCTAAAAAAATTAAGACAAATATTATTTTATTATAAAAATAGCGTTTGGTCAAAACTAAAATATATTTAACAAGTTATTACCGAACGTATGCTTAAAAGTAAACTCCTCCCGAATTTGATACTTGTCTTCTGTAGTTATTTCTTAATGCTTGAAAGTTTAGTATTATTAGTAGTAATTAATGCTTCCTGCGCGGAAGTTCTTTGCCGAACTGTTAATTATTCACAATAGGACTATTCAAAATCCAAATGGAGTAACTCGATTTGAATTTTGAATATTGCTATTATTATTCTGTCTGTCCACAAATATAAGATATTTCATTTCTCCATATATAAGTTGTTTTGAAAATATCTATCCTGACAGATGAACTATCTTATATTGATAATGTTTTTCTAATTTTATCTTTGTTTATGTTAAATACAGTAATAACTATCTCTATAATTTTGTAAAAGGTAATTAAGTCAAATCAATGAACATTTATTATAATTTAAAAAATTATTTGTTTCCCTAATCACCCTGCAAGAACCTTAAACAATTTACCTTTAGGGATATAAGGAGTATGATATAATAACTAATAAATTGCTGTTTTGGATTAATAAAATAGCTAATAAATTAGAAGATAAAATTGGAGTTTGAACAGTACTAATTAATATACAAGATGTTTTACTTGCTAATCATGTAATTAAGCTTATTCATTATCAAATGGTGAAAATTTGATAATGAATTTAAGAATAAAATAGAATCTAACAGTTCCTTTTTTTCTTTGGCTTGTGAATTTGCAGGGAAAGGTTCCAATTTTATCTACAACTGCATTGCATCATCTTCATATTTTTATCTTTGTGCTAGCTTGTGTCCATGTGGCTTTCTGTGCTCTAACCATTCTTTTTGGAAGTGCAAAGGTATACAATATTTTCCTATATATTTTTGCAGCTTTTGCTTTTCTGATTTCCATTTATTGTGTATAGTTTCTGAAATAACTAATATTTTCTTCTATAAAACTTTTTATTTTACATAAAACATGAACTTTTTTTCATGTTCAGATAAGACAATGGAAGCATTGGGAAGATTCTGAATCTGGGAAGGAAAATGATCCAGAAGAAGGTAATGCTTATTAGCATAGTTAAAACTTATAAATTTATAATTTCATGCACATTTATCTAAGAGCCCAATTGGAGGAACAGTTGGAGCAAGCATTTCGCATTTGAGCTTCCAACCAAGATGTTTGGTAAACTTAGTTCATGTTCGGCAACATCTTTTAAACTAGCTTTTAGCGTCTCAATTAAGTCAAAACTCTATCTTAATTGGAGGGTTCAGTAACATAATAATAGCTTTTAGAGGTTGAAGGAACTTTTTATTAGACGTAGGGTCTGTTCGGCAATACTAGCTGTTTTAGTAGTTGTTAGCGGTTTTACGAGCTGTTAGCTGTTTTAATAGCTGTTAGATATTAGCGGTTAGCTGTTTATGTAACTATTTTAGAGTGAAAGTGTTCGGTAATTGTTAAATTTAAAATGACAAAAAGAGATATTTAAATATTGAGTTAAAATTTTAACTTAATGACTATAGTAGTGAACTCATTATAAAAAAAAAAAATGTTAATTTATAGTGTATAGTCCAATTATATAAATTGAAATCATTATCATTTCTAAAATGATAATACAATTTCCTCACATATTCCTCTATTAATTCATTATTAATGATAATACAATTTCCTCATTATCATTTCTAAAATGATAATACAATTTCCTCACATATTCCTCTATTAATTCATTATTAAATTATTTTGTTTAAATTTTTTGTAAAATAATGTAATTTTTTAACTTAATTGCAGATTTACAGTACCATAGCAAAAGACTTTAAACTAATGTTAAAAGTTAATTAACGATAAGGATAAAGATAATATAAGTTAATTAAGGATATAATTATCAAAAAAATTTAATCAAAAAATGAAAACGCTAAACCTTAGATGGATTAAGGTTTTAATAAATGCTATCTTATCACTTAAGAGCTATTTTATATACTACTTTACTGAATGATATAATTTATAAATATAGTGTTTTGACACAGTCAAAACTTTAAACTCTCTCCCTTAAATGTTGTTGCCGAACAGACCCGTAAAACACTATAACATAATGTTTAGCTTTTTAGCATTTAATTTTTTTCCTCAGAATTCAACTAATTAAACAACTAATGTATTTTTTATCATTTTAAATTAAACAACTAGTTTTACTGAATATTTTTAATTTAAATTTAAACCGTTACATAAACAGCTATCAGCTAAAGGTTAATAATTAATAGCTAATAGTTTTAGTGGCTATTAAAACAACTAATATTGCCGACTAGATACTTAGGCTTGTTTAATTTGGAAAATGAAATAATAGGAAATAGAATTGCTTTTCCACAAATATACTATATACCCATTATTCACTTTTTATAAAACATATGTTAAACCTTGAAATTTCCATCACTTAGCATTTGGTTTAACTATTAACTACTATGTCAACAGCTAACTGCTATCCCTGAACCAAATAGCTAAAATTACAATGAAGAAAAAGCAATTCCATTACCTTTCTTAAACAGTCAAAATCCTTTTTATGTTAATTTTCTTCTTATTCAATTATCATGTATGCAGCAGGAAATGCAAAGCTTACACATGTTCAAGATCATGACTTTATCAAGAAACGGTTTCGGGGTATGGGCAAGGACTCTTATATAATAGGCTGGGTGGTAGGATCACCATTGTTTTCAAGTATCTTTTCTTTATTTTTCAAAATTTTTTTAATAACTTAAATTTATTATTTTTCAATTTAATGGATTATGACTTCTTTTCTTTTTCAGCATTCATTTTTCAAGCAGTTTTATGGTTCTGTTACAAAATCTGATTATATAACATTGAGACTAGGCTTCATTATGGTAAGGTTAATCATCTGCAATTCTATTAATTTGTTCTAACTCTTTATGTAATAGAGTTATGTTTATAAAATATTTCTTCCTGCAGTCTCATTGTAGGGGAAACCCTAAATTTAACTTTCACAAGTACATGATGCGAGCCCTCGAAGCTGACTTCAAGAAAGTTGTAGGAATAAGGTTAATTATGTTACAGTTTTTTACTTGTTTAAACAGTAATTTTTGCTCTTAATTGTGTGTTATCTTGAACTAATTCATGACCTCATCGGTTGCAGTTGGTATCTTTGGTTATTTGTGTTTATTTTCTTGCTGCTGAATATTGCTGGTAAGCAATGAGCTTACTAATTTTCCTTTTTTTTTTTTTTTTTTTTTTTTTTTTTTTTTTTTTCCTTAAAATCTAGAAAGATGTAGATTTTTTTTTTTTTTTTTTTTTTTTTTTTTTTTTTCCTTAAAATCTAAAAATGTTAAGACAAAAGTTACCTTCTTCGAAAAAATATTTCACATGTCTCTTTCCAAATGTTGTTTTGCCTTTGGAATCTTAAGTTTACCAGAGTTCATGTCTGATTATGTAGTTTTATGCTATTCTGCAATTTTCAGATTGTTTGTTTGATAAATGTGCTGTGCTTATGATTATGATATGCAGGTTGGCACACATATTTCTGGATCGCGTTCGTTCCCTTCATTGTAAGCTCTCGAAGCATATATTTGTACTATACAATAAGTCTAACAACGAATTTATTAGGAAAATGATTTTTGGTTTTTATTTTAACAGCTTCTACTAGCTGTGGGTACTAAATTAGAGCATGTAATTACACAATTAGCTCATGAGGTTGCAGAGAAACACGTAGCAGTCAAAGGAGACTTGGTTATTCAACCTTCAGATGATCATTTCTGGTTCCACAGGCCTCAAATTGTTATAATTTTGATCCATATCATCCTATTCCAAAATTCTTTTGAACTTGCATTTTTCTTCTGGATATGGGTAAGGAACACACAAAATTTGCAGACAACATTTTCTTTTTTTACTGCTAAAAGTAATGAATGATTTTTACTTCTTTGACTTATATATTTATTGCAGGCTCAATATGGTTTCGACTCCTGTATAATGGGACAAGTTGGTTACATTATCCCAAGACTTATTATAGGGTAAAATAAAGATTCTCCTTTTTTTTTTTTTTTGTTTCAGTAACAGTCTCACATCGATGAATGAAAAATTTATAGCTTCTGTTTATCACATTTAGGGCGTTCGTTCAGTTCGTCTGCAGCTATAGTACATTGCCATTATATGCAATTGTCACACAGGTAAATTCGGACTCTGACCGAAACTTCTAATTTCGTCCTGACAAAGAAGCTGAAAATGATTATTGTGTTGTAATGCAGATGGGAAGTTCATTCAAGAAAGCAATATTTGATGAACATATTCAAGTAGGGCTTGTTGGTTGGGCTAAGCAAGCTAAAAAGAATACAGTTCTTAGAAAGGCAGCTCATGGCTCTAGCCAAGTTGGTCACAAGGAGGATTCTCCACCAGCAGTTCAGTTGGCAAACATCGGAGACAAGGAATCTGCAATGGAAGATATTGTACAGCAAACAGCCTCTGGTAGGCCAAACTGAAAAGCATCATATCTCTGAATGCTCGTGTGTTGAGTTGCCACTGTCGCAAAATACTCCAACATAATATCTTATATTTTGTCCTTTTAGATTTAGTTCCAAGATTTGCTTATGTAATCAAGACTTTGTTCTAGCTCTGGGGCCAAGTAAAGTTTAAAATTTCCCTTTGTTTCTTGTCCCTAAGGACCCAAGTAGTAGTAGTCTCATCTATATGTTTGCATAAACTATAGATTTTTATTAAGTAATGAAATCCGCTTCCTCTGTGTTGCAGATTTAAGAGATGAGAAAAGCTATGAGTTCTTAGTCTTTCTTACATTTATGCTTAGAAGCTTTTTTCCAAATATTTACAGCTCAAAATAACCAACAAATGGTATCAGAGCTCTTTAGTTTTTAAAGGGGCCTGAGATTATCTTTATTACTTGAGAGAGAGAAAAGAAATAGAGAAGTGAGTTATGGCTTCCAATGTTTCAATTCCAACACCACCCATCTTCGGAGGCCAAAATTATAATTTTTTGGTAATCAAGATGAAAGCTTTCTTAAAAGCTAATGATTTGTGGGAGGTAGACGAAAAAATTATGAACCACTACCACAAAGGCCAAATTCTACTCTTGCTCAAATCAAGCAACAAATGCAGGAGGCTCTAAAGCAATTTAAAGCCCTTTCCTTCATTCACTCAGCTGTGGATGAAAGTATTTTTCCAAGAATCATGGGTCTAGACAGCCAAGAAAGCATGGGATTTGTTGAAGGAGGAGTTTCAAGATACCGGAAGAATGAAGCAAGTGAAGATGCAAACTCTTAGAAGAGAATTTGAAGCTTTGAAAATGAAAGATGGTGAAAGTATTAAAGATTATAGTGCTAGAGTGCTGCAAGTAGTGAACCAGCTAAGAATTAATCGAGAAGAAATTTCAGATCAAAGGGTGGTAGAAAAAATTCTCATCACTTTGCCTGACAAGTACGAGTCTAAAGTTGCTGCCATTGAAGAATCTCATGATTTATCCAAATACTCTGTCACAGAACTCACAGGAGCTTTTCAGGTATCCATGGAAGGAGCTTTTCAAGCAAAAATCAAGCTTAGAGAGTCAGATGTTGTGAAGTATCCTCCATGTAGAATTTGTAAGAGAACCAACCATGAAGAGAAAGATTGTTGGCATAAGGGAAAGCCACAATGCTTTAAATGCAAGAGATTTGGGCATGTTCAAAAGAATGGTGTATTTACTAACAGATGAGAAAAGCTATGAGTTCTTAGTCTTTCCTACATTTTTGCTTAGAAGCTTTTCTCCAAATATTTACAGCTCAAAATAACCAACATGGTGTATTTACTGCTTCCAAACCCAGAAGAACAGAGCCTTCGAATTATTACAGAACACTGAAATATAAGTTAAGAAGAGTATATATACATAGTTATTTATTTAAAGGAGGCTAGAAGTAATTGTTAATTATAGCTTATCACTCGTATTAAAAGGCATTGAATACTATTTTTAGCATAGATTTACTTTGATTTCTACCATTTTGCTTTTCCAATTTATTAAATTTCTAGAATGCTCCATATTATAAACTTGATACTGAAATCTGTTTAAAAAGTTCTTCTATCAAATCTCACTACTGGGTTTAAACATTAAAATAGAATTGTTTAAGCTTTCCTTTGTTTCAGCTTTAACCCTGTTTTATATGTATAAATGAAGAGGTGATTAAGGTTGATCAAACGACTCGATCCGTTGGATATCCGGTCTGATCCGATCTGAATAGTGGTGGATCGGATGTGCAGATTAAATATGAAATCAAGACCCCGAAACTATTTTAGTTCCAGATGATGCAGAGCCAATTATAATTCCGAATCCAATCCCATCTCCTGAGCTATACATATTAACTTCTGAAAATGTAGATTTGCCCGAACTTATTTAATAAGGGGAGATGGAGACACTGATTTGGACCCTCGTGATCGAGCTTATGATTGTAAAGAACACGAAGCCATAGTCAAACGATCCAATCCCGGTTGAGAGCGTCGAAGCCTGAAGTACTCACTTCTACTCCTGTCTTGCTGTGGAAGCATTGGCCGGAAGCTTCACAACCGAGATAGAGCCATCCCTGGAACCTAGGTTTAGAACTCCTGAGACTGGCCTACAAGAATCCTGCCCCCGCCTAAGAACTTGAGAGAAAAGGTCCCATCTGGACTAGCTGTCAAGGTTTCTACTTGGAAGAAAGAGAGGAAATTGCTATTGCATTGCCTTTTAGAGAGGGATTTCATTGATGTGGCATTAGTGGTCTTACCTGCTTATCTGCGTCAATCCGAAAGTTTTTTCTTTCTCTTCTAAACGAGATTGATTTTCTTCAATTCAAAATGATTTCATTGATGTGGCATTAGTGGTCTTACCTGCTTATCTGCGTCAATCCGAAAGTTTTTTCTTTCTCTTCTAAACGAGATTGATTTTCTTCAATTCAAAATTTGGAACTTACCAGTGGAAACTCTTAATTCAAGAAATTCCACCATAGCTCTTGAATCAAGACTTCCCGGCAAGTTCTATGGCTACAGAGCCATCTAGCTACCATCTTTCGTGTATAAAGTGTTTTCACTTGTCATAGTTACCTAGTGGGCTAGCTTCACACACTTGATTATGGGCCTCATCGCAATTCGTAGATAAACACTATTCTTAACTACCCTCTTATTATAGGAGGAAGCGATAAAATGGGAAGACTCCTATTAAGGGGCGAATACGGAGTAGAAGGGTGTGATTCCGACGCATAGCTGATAGACGAGCTAGCTAACCAGAAGAAAATAAGAGGTAAAGCGCAAGGTTATGAAATAATAATAAGAGTGACGGGTGCGGCACGGCTATTCCGAATGCTAGCTTTCCTGTAGTAGAGCAAGGCTCAAAAAGAGTTTTCGATTGAGGTATTTGGTTCTTGTTCCTCTTTCCATACAGTATCAATGGGCCGATGTTCCCCTTCCTCCAGTAAACTAGCAAATAACATTTACCTTATAAGTGGCATGTCAAAAAGGAGAAAGAAGAGAAAACAGAAGCGCAAAAGACCTTTCGAGGAAAGGAAGATACCGTAGAAAGACTTGTCCCAAGGAACGGAGGTTTTTAAGCCTAGAGGTGACTATACCCTCAAGAGATAAGCCTATGTTCTTCAAGTTATGCAGCAAGTTTTACAACATTTAAGCAACTGCTAAATTGCTTCTGGACTCCGACTTCGAAGAGGCTATGCCAACTGCATCTTTGGACGAATATCTGGCAACAAGACTTCAATTATTGGATCGAAATCTATGCAGGTAAAGACAAAATGAACTCTTCATAAGGAATTAAGGATAATGAATCTACTTATTCCCAGAATTAATGAATAATTAATACAAATGGCCAGCATCTATGGCTGAAGTATCCTTACATGTGATAAGAATCATCAATCAAACAATCTAAACTAGCAACAGAATCCAACCACTTGATTTCGCTGATCAGTTCTCCCAGTATCTGATACATCTCTTCGTAATTAGGGTGTGATCTATCATCAGCATTGAAAGCATGAACCTCATTCTTAACCTCTATCCAACTCCAACCAGGGACCTTTCTCACCTTCCTCTCCCTCATCAACCTCGTTATGTGCGCTTTCTTATCCCACCTTCTAAGATCTCCATACATGTTAGAGAGTATAACGTAAGTGCAATGCTCTTCAGGCTCTAGCTCTAGTAGATGACTTGCTACTTGAGCAGCTAATTCTATGTCTCCACAAGCCCTGCAGGCAGCTAATAGGGTTTTCCACACCATTGCATCAGGTTTATGTGGCATCGATTCCACCAAGGCTTTTGCCTCATCTAGATGCCCAGCTCGACCAAAAAGATCTATTGCACAAGCATAATGCTCCATCCGAGGTGAAATGCCATACTCTGATGCCATAGATTTTAGAAAATAGCGGCCCTGTTCGACCAATCCAACGTGGCTACATGCAGTCAAAGCTGCGACAAAAGTTATATGATCCACCTTCACCATCCTCTCCCTCATTTGGAAGAAGAGGTTCAATGCAACATCACCCTGTCCATGTTGTGCATAGGCAAACATAATGGAATTCCAAGTAATCGAGCTATTTTTGGTACTCCCGTCAAAAGATTTTCGAGCATCCTCAATGATCCCACATTTAGAATACATGAAAATCAATGAACTAGCTACAAAGTCATTCATCTCAAAGCCTGATTTAACTACCAAGACATGAATTTGTTGGCCTAGTTGGAGTGTTGCTAAATCCGAGCAAGATCTAAGAGCCGCAGAAAATGCATAATCATCAATTTCGACCCCCAAAGATCTCATATGCTCAAAGAATTTCAGCGCATCTTCACTACATCCAGTTTGTGAGAATCCAGTCAAAATGGAATTCCAGGAGACACGATCCTTCGATTCCATGGAATGAAACACATGTAATGCATCTTCCATGGATTTATAATTAGGTTCAAGATACATAGCTATTAATGCATTACATATGGGCACAGATTTTGTTAGCCCCCTCTTGATCACCAAGCAATGCAAAGATTTTCCATGATCTTTATGTGAAGAAGAACTTATAACACTGGTGTAAGTATAAATGTCTGGCTCAAACCCAAACTGTTGCATGTCAAGGAATAGTTTAATGGCAACTTCTTTCCTATCATGTGTTAAGTAAGCTGCTAACATGGAATTCCAAGTAACTACATCTCGGGTGCCAAAAGCACCACCAAAAACTCTTTCTGCATCCTCTAAAGAACCACATTCCGAGTATGAAGTTATTGTGGCATTGCATACGGTGTTATCAAAATCCACACCATATTTTATAATTTTACAATGAAGCTGCATTGTTGACTTGTAAAACCTATCTTCATCAAGCAAGGTAAGAAGTGGAGAAAAAGTTCCATCATCAGGACTAACCGCTTCTATTTCCAGACAATCTAATAACCAAAATGCAGTGTCACGATCGCCTTTTTGTACAAAACCAGCAATAAGTGCATTCCACGAGACAGAATTACGCTGTGGCATGCACTGAAACACAACAAACGCATCATCAAGTCTCTCACACTTCGCATACATGTCCAAAAGAGCACTTCCGGCATAAACATTCTCCTCAAAACCAATCTTAACTATCAAGGAATGCAGTTGCTGTCCAAGATCAAGATTACAACCATGAGCAACTCCTTTAAGTATACTTCCAAAAGTATAGGCATCAGCCTCAAAACCTAATCTTTTCATAGATTTATGCAAATCCCAAGCAGCCCCGAAGTTTCCAGAATTGACATAACCAGCAATCATTGTGTTCCAAGTAACGGTATCTCTTTGGGGCATTTCGTCGAACAGTTTCAAAGCGATAGTTACTCCTCCCCAGCGGCATCTCGTGTATTGACTGAGAATGTTGTTTGCAGTGTAAATATCTGCTATCTCTCCTAATTTGATAGTCTGACAATGGGTTATAAAGATTTTATACAAAGCATGCCTCGAGCTTTCAATTGCTGAGCTCAGTGGCCTCATTCATTCGTGGAATCATGTGTATTCATTCCACAGAAAACAGATAATTACTTTGTTTGCTTTGAAGGATGTGAAATTAAAGACAATTACTTAGTTTGCATGTTAAAGAGGGAGAAATCATTGGAGACACGCGTCAATTTTTCTCCTCTTTTTTTTTTTTTTTTTTTTTTTTATTGACGCCAAATCTACTCCAATTTTAAACACATGATATTTTTTTTTTTTTTTTTTGAGCCAAAATCTCTCCAATTTTAAACACATGAAATGAAGGATTTACAGAAGCTAAAAAATTGAAGTTAATGTTTTTATATACCTAAATATTTCAAATTGTAATATATTATTATTACTTTTTTTCTGAAGAACATATATTATTTCTAGAGTCGCAACAATGGTTTATAAGATTTTTAATTTTTATATGTAAAATATTTGTTTGATGCACAATTAAGACAATCTTTAAATAATAATTTTCAATTATTCAATAAATATTTAATAAATGCAATTTTACAAATTACAGTATTCAATAAGTTAAAATAAAAATTAAAAATATCATAATTTTTATCGTGAAGAATGAATTTAATAAACTCGTAGAATAAATAGTGTGAATATCGACTTCAAAGAAAACATGAGTTAGATATAAAAAATAGGCCAAATCATTAAAAAATGGTTATTAATCAATTTCATTCAGCACTTTTTAAGTAATTACAATTTCACTGTAAATCGACCTTTGTATATTGGACACCCTAAAGTTATCAATATAATCCTAAAATTTGAAGTTTTTTTAATGGTTTAACATAGAAAGTGTGATTGCAACTTTTATGTTTAATTACTTCAAACAAAGGGTGGTTATTGAAATATTTATAAGCAAAATTTTTGTACCAATATGTGCATTTGGATTTTTCTGAGAATATTAATAAAATATAGGTTTAAATGTACAAGTATCTAGACATATTAAATTATGCAACCTAGGGAAGAGCATATATTTGGATATATCAAAAAATAATGTGGGTCTTTCTGAAGTACAAATCCTGGCATCAAAATACAATTGGAAAATGGAACATCACCTTATTAGAAAAAAATCCTGATGACATCTCGCAAATTTTTTCAGCATACAAATACATGCCTATTTTCTCATTGCAAATTTAACTAGTTTCATATCATAGACCATAAAATCTGTCAAACGGCTATGCACCATGGTGTTGGTATCTGCAATTTTAGGATCACCAAAAACCAAAAGCTTGCGGTTAATGACCTAACATATCCAGGATGATCAATGATACAAATCTTCTAATTTGCTTTCGCCGCAATTTACGTCATCTCGTTGAAGTGAACAAAAACAAATCCTATCCGGAGCTGTAAAATCATACGACAAGCTTCGTCACAGAGTTTGCAATCTGTCTGCTTCTTCTTGTTTTGAAACATCGACCATGGGAGTATTTTACTGAGTGAAATAGTAAAAAATATCTAGTTCAGCCCCTTAAAAGGGTAACCAATAATTGTTGCTTATGATTGTAAAGTTCCCCATGTACATGCGCATACACTTCGAGGAACTCAAGACAACTATCTGTTTATTTTTATCCACGTCAGCATTTGGCATAAATGAATTTAAAGTATATATTTCATTTAAAAATAATAGATTTAATTCAGTTTTATTGAATTCCATAAAATTCATAAAATTGAATTAAAGTGATCGAAATGAATATTTTCATTCATACCAAACAAAAATAAACAAATTTTAAATGAGTCCCCTAAAATTTTATGGAACTCATTTATACCAAACAATGATTAACAATATATTATATGTTCCTATGTATGTTTGCTTATTGCAGAAATAGACGGCTGAAATGGTCAATTAAACTAAGATAATAAACGTTTGGAGTAACAAAGGAGAGGAAGTTGTAATTCCCGGAAAATAAGGAATGTGAGCTTGTTCGGTTGGCACGAAGCACAAAAGTCCCAAGAAGTGAGAAACAAGTGCTACACCAAATCATGGTCAGCCGATGCAATAGAAAATTTTGAGTTAGAGGAGCAAGAACAACAAAGTCTTATGAATCATGTCCCTGCCAATTTTTAATGGCAAGGTAGGTAATGAACAAGAAAAAACAAGTGCTGCATCTCTACATACATTTTCTCCTTATGCTCAAACAACATTCGTTGCACCATCAAACACTGGAAATAAAAGAAGAAAGGCAAATAAAGGGGCCACATATTTTGATGAAGGCAGGCCAAATTCTATGTGGATAATAGATATCATCAATGGATGAAACTAAATATATAATTTAAAATTTTGATTTACCCATGTGAAAAAATGAACAACTTAATGTACCAATTTAGGTATTCCCTTTTGAACATGTGAATTGAATCTTTTGATAGACATCTATCACTTACTATCTATGGTTCATCCCAATTAAGCAAATTTTCTTGTTCATCCTCTCATGTTTTGTCATTTTGATTAATGGTTAGGTAAAATGGTGTAGAAGAAGGGAATGCAATTGCCTTTTTCTAGGGCAGGTGCCCTGTTGAGTCTATTCTTGTTTCTTTTATTTTGTAAGAAAAATGGGCCAATCCCTAAATAGGTAGGATAACTTGTCCTTAAAAAAGTTTCCAAATTGAAAAGGGCACATGCAAGAATAAATGAACAACATATCATGCACCCAATAAGGGAGGGGGTTTCTGCGTAGGACACATGCAATGTCTCTCCCCTCATTAGAAGCAGAATTGACTAAAATTACAAAGTGCACCCAATAAGGGAGGGGGTTTCTGCGTAGGACACATGCAATGTCTCTCCCCTCATTAGAAGCAGAATTGACTAAAATTACAAAGGTCAGTACAAAACTCCCTTATCAAATGACCCTTTAATGAAAGGACAATAGCCCTTTATTCTTGGGCACAGCTTGATAAGACTATAATTGGTGCTGTATACTTTCACATTCTTTAAAGATCCATTATCTTCTAACTACCATTTCTTGTCATTCCTTATAAGACTCTTATCTTTATTAATTAATTCCTTATAATTGGTGAAAAATCACTTGGGATATATTTTCCAGCGTTTGATACAGCATTAAAAAATTTTAATTTTTCACCATATAAATAATGCATTTACGCCTATTATATTTCACGTAAATCTAATAAATATATACATATTCATAAGAAAATAAAAACAACTAATTTAATCATAAAAAAACAAATGTTCATATTTCATGTTTGTTTATACATCTAAACCATCAAAATAGGTTAAATATAAGTATTCAAAGCCAGCTAATGATCACCACAATGGATAATTCATTTGTGACATTTGTTGTTTGATAAGTTAAGACATTATCAAAGTGCATATGCTTGCATGCATTTGCTTATTCAAACAGCAAACACTTGCCAGGCATGAATATACCTAACCTCATCTCTGATATGAGCTAATGAAAGAATTAATTATCAGCCTTAACAAGAAAAGAAAGTGCAACAAGAAAATTAATTAAAATTTTAATTATTAATTAATTTATAAAAAAGGAAATAAAAGAAAATATACATTCCGCTTTGATTTTTGGTGAAATCAGGTCCAAACTAGAGGAATTCAATAGTCCCACCAAAAAGTGGCCAACCCATTGTACCAGGAGGCAACCCCTTTCTTGCATATATTATTTCATTCCATTTCAAGGACATAGTAAATAAAATACCCAATCCCATAAAAAGCCCAACACCAAACACCGCCACTAAAACTGCCATTGATGCTCCCAAGAAAAGTAAATCAAAGAACACAAAAAAGCTACTATTATATCTTTCTTTAAAGAGTTCTGTGCTTTACTGCTGCAAAATGGTATGGCTTGCTCAGGTGTATTGTTATAAGGATAGAGACATTGACAGAAAGGAAATGCTGAATAGGCAAGACCACACACCCACTCAGTGGCCTATTATTTTCGCATATATATTATAGGGAAAGACAGGAGTAAATTATAGCAGGCAAAAAATATTTCACTATCTCTAATTCCACTTGAACAATATAGTACTTGTGATGTTTACTAAATAAAAGGCCTAAACTCATTGTTCGGTCTAAACTCGATAAGTATTACTAAACACTTGGTGCCATGATGGAAACAGCGAGCTAAAGGGTCCTGAAAGACAATAGAAGGTCTGCAATATATCTCTGGGCTTATTGTCCAACTTTAACAAAAATTAACAAAAAACCAACAAAATTAATACAAGAAGTTTCCAAAAACTAAGAATAATTCAATAATAACAAGTAGAGTTTTCAAATATCTACAAAAGTAGCAGAAAACCTTGCTTTTTTTAGCTAGATGACTTCGCCGGAGAAGACTAACAATACTGTGTCCGTCGTTGACTTGGAGATGCTATGGGCGATTTTGGTGGCGGAGTTGTAAGATGTTTTCCCGTCTCCTTGGACTTAAATTGAATGAGTATGGGACCTTGACGAAGTGGCAAGTAAGTCGAGGAGTGGAGAATAAGACATTTTTATTATTCATGGCAATGTTCTTAGGCGAGATGGTCTCTGTTTTAGCATAATTTGTCATGTGATGTTATCAATTTTTTGAGTATTGAAAGAGACTGAAACTACTTTAAAGTTTTGAATCCAATTCAACCAAACCTTTAAATAAATTATTTCCTTCTTTTTTTGGTCATTGAAATTTATTATTTTATTCTCTTCTTCAAAAAATTGAATCTTTTTATTCATTTCTTTTTTTTTTTACCATTCGATAGTGCAAAATAAAATTGGTAAATGATATTACTCTTTCTTTTTTTTTTATTTGATGTGCGCCCCCAATGAAAACTTACTGGTAATTTTGTGTGGCTTAATACAAATTATGATAGTTTTGTTTATGATATTTAGTTATTCAGATTTTGATGGGTAATAAATAAATAAATTTGATACGGATAGTATTTTTACTACTCATATTGAATTCGAATAGAATTTTAATGGGTAACGAGTAAACAGATTTAGGACAGATTCGGATAGTATCTTTACATTCCAACTAATTGCAATTTAAAATAAAGTTAATTGGAACGTGAACAAATAAAAGCACAGCTATTAAATTCAAATCATTTTATAATACACTTCAACAGAAACATTAAACCAATCTTGCAATTATAAGACTCTTCTACCTCCACTTCCCAACGAACTCAGTCGAAGCAAAAGAAAATTTAACTTGTATTAATGGCAAGTATCCTACAAATAAGGCAAAACTTTTTCCCAACGTCTGTATTACAAACTTCTCATATGTATTTTAATCTTAATATAAAATAAACCATCCATATGGGTAAAAATCATCCACTATAGTATCTATCATGCTGAGTGGTAGAACCGAATTCAAACCTCTTCACTTTTTTTATTTAGTTATGTATTTTTATAGTTCACCAGTTGCTCAACTGTTTCTGAAGTTTTGAATTATGAGAGGATTTACCACCTTTGTCTTTGTAAGAATTTCTAGAAGCAAGACTCTTCTGTCCCCTTCGGGCAACTGCTATAGCGCGTCTTCTCTGCTTGTTAAGGCGCTTGCTCAGTTCAGCATCATATGTATCTACAGTCTGATTATCTTCTTCCTGAGAATAATAAATATACATTTACCGCTAGGTTATGCCTAGATATGCAACAAATAGCTTTACTTGACTAAAAAATGTTAAGGCGCTTGCTCAGTTCAGCATCATATGTATCTACAGTCTGATTATCTTCTTCCTGAGAATAATAAATATACATTTACCGCTAGGTTATGCCTAGATATGCAACAAATAGCTTTACTTGACTAAAAAACAAGGAGAAAGGAGAGCATATGTTTTTTACTATAAACTACAATGAAACAAATTTTGCAATCGGGCACATTTTATAATTTTCATTACATCTAACCTTGAGAATGAAATGCTGAAGTTAGAAGGAACAAAAGCAAAGTAAAGCAAAAACCTCAGTAAACAGACGTAGTTAAATATCAGCTGATTAGCGTAATCTTAAAAAGTTAATGGTGGATATGTATGTACTTTGAAAGCTGTAGTAGACAGCAATAACCAAATTCATTAACTGTTAGTCCACAAATAATTTACTAACCAGCAGATCACAAGAAAGAAAACATTACACCATGAAACAACTAATTGCATGAAAAGGCCATCAGCAGAAGAAAGATCAGGGTGTAACATACGTTGCTTGCAGATGAGATTTGTAAGAAAGCTTGGGATGTACGATATTTTTTTTTTTTGAGATTGGATCCATTACTCATCATTCATGAGCCAGTAAACACTTGGTCATGTCAGTGTATCCAATCCCTTTGACCAATCAATGTGAAAAAATATTAGTCAAATCAGTACGAGAGATTCAATATTTGGAGCAAATGAATACAACTCGTACCTTGTCACTCACTTCTTGTGTTTCTGACTCATTGTTTTGACTTGCTTCATAGCTTTGTTGATTCTCATCTACTTTGTCATCCTCATAAGCATTTGAAGTGCATTCTTCCTGCATTGTTTTTATTCTTCCAAACTAAAAATCTCAAGCCAAAAAAAAAAAAAAAAAAAAAAAAAAAAAAAAAACAATGCAGCACAATATATAATAAACCATAAAAGACATAAATATGGGATATAGGCATACAACTATGTCAACTTTTAATCAATTAGATCTAAACCATAAACTAAGAGACTGCCCTATGAACTAGGCCATCCTTCAGCCTTTCCAGCAGAATCTATTGGAAAACCTATCAGTAAATCCGTTACTTCAGTCATCCGGCTTTACTTATCTACACTGTTCACATACGCCTAGCAAATCTATTAATGAAAATTGGGACAAACGACGGTATGGGTATCTTTTTACAGGGATAAAGAAATGGTAATAATGAGTAATGGAATTTTTGAAAGACAGTCAACTATTGATTATGTGTATGAAGGATACATAGTAATAATAGTGTAACAAGTATTTTTGTTTAAAGTATATTCAACATGAACAATTCGGCCACTATTTTTAAAATCTATCTTAACCATTTCACTCAATTGGATTCAAACAAGACATGGTATAACATATTTCTCATTCTCCAACTTAAATAGGTACTGAAATTCATCAATAATAGAATTGAATCTAAGATGCACAAATTATAGAAAACCACGTGGTAATTTTAGAAGCAAATCAAGTGTTAGTAACCAAAGGAGGTCTGTGTACAGTAGAGAGTAGAAATTTTCCTAGTTCATCATTTTCGTTTCCTTTTTTGTTGATTTCAACTCATAAATCTTCCAGGTTTTGCAACTTTGCCAAATATTCCTCCATTTTCCTAGCAAGAGCTCTTAAAATCTTAGAAAAGAAATTAATACCATACACGATCAATATATTGATAAAAGCTGAGTCTAGAAGTTATCAAGCACAACCTTGCCAAGTGTTAAGCCTATTTTTTTTGACAAATGAACAAAAAAAGTGGCTTCTTATGAGGCCTTCTTATGAGGCCACCGCATATGCTATTTCTCTAAGGTTTAAAAGATTTTTAAATAAGTCATGGATTAATAATTCCTCTCTTTGCCATTTTCTCTCAATTGACAACTCAGCAAAGAAAAAAATTTGGAGGCTTTTCTTGAGTTCTTCTTATTCGCTGCAATCTAGGGTAAATTTTACCTTTTAAATTTTAATTCATTTCTATAAAGAATGATAAGAAACAACAAATAAACAAGACCAAGTCCTAATAATGAAAGTAAGCAGGAACAGAGATGGAAATTGAATTTAAATTCAGAAGTCAAACCTTATGTAAAGCAACTATCAAAATTTCCAAAAATGATTCATAGATGGGAGATCAAATACTTTTAAAGATACCAAAAAAGTCATATCAAAATTTAAAACAAGCCAAACCCTGAAGTAGTGGTATTAAAATTCAGGTTCTTTTGTGTTTAAGCATGTGTCAAACCGAGCTAGATGAGGTTAGAAGTATTAAGAAACTAACCCAACATATCTTATATTGATTTGATACGAATTTATCGGTTTTATGCAGGTTGGATCGGGTGAGATTATGCAGGTTATTCCTTATCTTGTTAACAGTTAATATTGATTCCAAGATAGAAACACAATAGGGAGGAGAGCGAAGAAGTTCTATGACGAAGTCAAAATCACTACCCTTCAAAGCCCGCTAATATTTTTCTTGATTGTCTGATCTGGAGACCTTGACCTTAATTTTCTGGAGAGGTTAATAATTCAATACCTTGTTTTTCTCTCCCTCACTGCTAATACTGTTTCCAAATCTAATTCTTTATTTGATGCGTTCTCAAATACTAAAGCAGTTTTTTTTCCTAGTGATATAACTATTATTGATTCTAATCTAATATTAAAACTCTGATTTCTACTAGAATTACTGTTAATAATTTCTATTTAACCTGCATAAAAGAACAGTGCAAGCTGTATGAGTGTTGATGGAGGAAATTGTTTAGTGCAGAACACAGAAAAACACTCATGCAAGCTGCAAGAGTGATCAAAACAGGGATTGGACAAGAATTCAACTATTTCTATTTGCGATAAATCAATCATCCTTTGGAAAATTTTTTTTTTAAAAAAAAAAAAAAAAAAAAAAAAAAAAAAAAAAATTTTTAAAAAAAAAAAAAAAAAAAAAAAAAAAAAAAAAAAGAAAAAGCAATTCAATGAAGACTCCCAATCATAGAAATTAACTAATAAGATATGAAGAGGAAGGAGGAGCTAGGACTCTGAGGGACTCAGATGACACGTGGCAGTGTGAGAGAATATCAGTTCTTCGTACTGTGACGAAAAATGCAACCAATACGAATATAAACATTGCATGTTTCAACACAGTTAACAACCAACTAAATTATGTGTAATTTGAGAAATCCAGGTTGTATTGAGGGTAGACTTGGGTCAATTAAGTTTGACCCAGATTTGAACAGCGCTACTGTGAAGGTGTAAAATTAGTGAAATCAAAATAATATTTTATTATAAAATCCAAATTGACTTCAAAAATTTCTCTTCATTTTCCCAAGAGATGATGCGAAGTAATCTGTACAGCAAGTGTTTCTAATGAAGATTCTTATATGTCAATTATACATGATGGCCCAATAGTGAGGCCTCAGTTTGTAGCAAACTAGTGACTTGCATCACTTGGTTATGATAAAAGCTTTGACAGTACATACCTGATCTGCCAACTGCAAAGAATCTAACTTTTTTATGGTTGTTTCATTTGACTCAGATGCATGTTCTTCGTCTTCAGTTCCTTCAGTGTCAGAGCTTGTATCTTTTTCACTCCCACCTTCAATGAACTGCAGGGGAAAAAACAACACTGCATTGAAAAGCGGTAATACAAATTTGCGCGAGTTACATTCCAAGGCACAAGCTAAACCTAACATAACTAAATTATGATAGAAGGTGGAATGGCAAAATAAGACCCACATAGAAAAAGACATTCCAATTAAATTATTTGCAGTATTGTCAAAATTCCTGAAAGCAATGATTACAGAAACAGGAGACAAAGTGGATTTCAGCGAGTACAAGTTTCAGGTGTGAGGTTGAGAAGAATATGCAACCAGTGGACAAGAAATATAATGCTTTTATATGCTCCTAAATATAATGGCTATTACATTAGTATTTGAAAGTTTGATGGTACCAACCCTGCCCACTCACTCCCCTACCCCCATCCCAACCCCAAAACTCTACTTTTCTCCCCCACAATGGTGCCTACTTCTGCCCCTGGAAAAAAAGCAAAGGTTTTATTCCATAAATTAGAAATGCGCAACCTTCCAACAAGACATGGATGAACTGCAACATTTGAAGAACAAAGTATCCTAGTTAATGAGAATAACACAGAGAAGAAAGCTACTTTGGTTGTATGAGATGAACAGAAATAGCAGAAAATACACTAGAAGTAATTTTACGCATATATAGGGCATAAGATTAAAGGAGGAGGCAATGGCAACAATTCATGTGCAAGAGGACTGCTTTAGTGTAGGCAAGGTTTTTACTGAATGGTGTCAGGTGAATGAAAAAGGTGCTTCAAGAGTATCGGTGATTGGTCCATGCCTACAAGTGTAAGGTATAGAAGGTTCGACAGCCTATAATCACATTCGAATATAAACTGATGAAAAGTTTATGTAGAGGATATTTGGAGCCATCACCATAATTAATAGGAGAAATACTAGAAAACAAATATCAATCAGACTCACTCACATACAATGCAGAAATTAATAAGACATGATTCACCATACTTTCTCAATGTCATTCTGATCTTTCCTTGTAAATCCACTGGCAGCAAGCTCCTTGTCGAGAAAACCGACTGTTTTTGATATAGAAGAAAAAGTAGGTCTGCCGGTTTCATCCGAATCTACATCTGAACCATCAATTTCATCTGTGTGTTCTTGAAAGGACAGATTAAATCTGGAGGAAAAAAGAAAAAGGAAAACATCATGCATAGAAAATATATGTACATTAGGAACTCATGCACAGGAATGTGATAAAGAAAAATCCTAGGAGTGGTTGACCATTGACATCCATATTTGCTACAGACATTAACAGCATATAACTGCATTAAGTTTTTTGCTTTTTATTTTTTTTATTAAGGTGGAATTATTACGAAATTTTGAATCACAGATATAAACAGTCAGATTTCAATACCAACTGAAGTAAGGGAAATTACAAACAGCAGAGATAGAAGGGAGAAAATGAAGAAAAAAAGAAAAAAATATGATGCTTCATTGAGAATAATTATATAGACAATTTTTTTGGAAAAAAAAAAAAAAAAAAAAAAAAAAAAAAAAAAAAAAAAAAAAAAAGAAGAAAAAGAAAGAAATATATCCAAATAATCTCTTATTATACCAGCCAAAATGATTGTTAAAATCTTTCACAGTATTGTCTGAGATCCAACAATACTTTGAGCAAAATAGCCAATTACCTCTTGCTAAAAAACTTAAAGATGCATTCTACATCGCGGTCAAAGTACCTGAGCAATGAGAAAAAAATAAGAAAGCATAGAAACAAAAGACTTGCAGTGAATATAGAGGAAATCAAATAACAGGTACTAAGATCTCACACATACATTTGAGCATTCCGATGTGATACAGATACCATCTGAGGGAAATCAATCACAGTGATCTTCTCATCATCATCGATCTACAAAGTAATTGAGCACAAAAATGTAAAGCTTATCAGTTGGCTGAAATTGAAATTTTACGAGATTTTTGGCCATCTAGTAGAATGAACAGTGAACAAATTCAATGGAGAAACTAAACCTAAATGGCATGAAACCATGAATCCCTGTATGCAAAAAATACAGAAAAAAACAAAGTGCAGAAAAGTTGAAATGTATTACAAAGGTGATAAAAAGATGAAGACAAAAAAAAAAAAAAAGCAAAATAACAAACAGCTTTAAAGCCAAGAAATGAATGGCATTATCAAGAGGCTCAAACACATACCATAATATTAAATTCATTGAAATCACAATGAATGAGACCATGTTCTGCAAGACGAATAACAACACCAATTATTGTTTCAAAAACTGTTTCTGGATTTTGCAATTGCTTCACCTGCACACTGAATGCAAATAAATAACTGATAAATCAACTGCTCATGGATATAAAGTCACAGTTTAGCACCATAAATCATGACAATCAGGCAGAAGAAAGAGATTAGAGAAGGTCAGAGTAACCATTAAATATATGCAATGAAAAAAGAACCTCACTTATCATTTTTAGGTCCCATCTAGAGCATAGAATTGGATGTCTTGAAATTGGAATTGGACCCCTTAATTCTAATTCAGCTGTTTGGCACTTATCATTTTTAGGTCCCATCTAGAGCATAGAATTGGATGTCTTGAAATTGGAATTGGACCCCTTAATTCTAATTCAGCTGTTTGGCACCCATTTAGAAATAGAATTGCATTTCCGCATCCAATTCCTCAGAATTGCAAGATAACTATAATGCTCCTTTACAATTCAGAAGGGCCAATCACTGAATTGGAATTTCAATTCAATTCCAATTCATAGCGCTTAAGATTGCACATTCCAAAAATTAACAATATATATCAATATCAATTACATTGTTGATTAAATGACCATAATTGGTTATAGTATATGTCAGGTTGTCAACAACAAGAAATATCTGATGTTGATGACTAGTGTAACAATAAAAGATAACTATGAAGCAGAAATAATGGAACAGAAATCATACAAAATAACCATAGCCAAGAACTGATGAAAATCAAGAAGGAATAGGGGGGTGAATGCATAGGACAAATTCAGAATTTAGGAACGGAACAAGCATAAAAGTAAATGATGGAGGTCAACTTACAGTGGATAACCTTGGACACGTGACATAACAACACAATGCCTATTACAGTCCACAGCTTGTGGAACAGGAAATCCATGTTCTTCCAAAGCCTGTAAAAAGTACCCAAAAAAATGAGCATCATGTCAACACCAACCAACATAACTAGCAACCAATGGAATACAACTAATGTGAACACAAGAGACAAAACAGAACCTTCATAAAAGCAAATTCTTTTAGTGCAGCTAGACGGGACAAGTAGAGCCAATTGTAATTACGACGATGCCTCAAGTAATCACGCTTAGATTTGACAGCCCTGAAAGAAACTCTGCCAAGCCTATGCAACTTCATTGCCAATATAGTACCATCCTCTGTACAAACCTCAAATATATCTTCAACAAAATGAAAGATATAAAACATCAATGAAATATCAAAACAAAGTAAAACAAAAAATAAAAGCAAAAATAATACTAGAACTAACAATATAAGTTGCAGAAACTTTCTTATGGTTCACAAACATACCAGACTCCTTTCCAACTCCGATTTGACGACCAACAGCTCTAAATACTCCACGATTGAGCAACGTTTTAATGGCAAGGTAATCATATCCAAGGTAAGTGAGCCGAAACCCATCATCTAGGTTCATTAAAAAATATAGCCAAATATATTAGCAGACTCCAATTAGCAGACCTAGACAATACAATGCATTGTTACTCACACTTGGAGGAATCATGGTGCAGCAGCTTATGCTTGAGCAAGCTTTTCAAAACCTTGTATGTCCCTCCATTTCTAAAATAATTGTACATATAGATGTTATTAATAAACTTAAACTCAAATCAAAAGGAAAGGAAAGTTACAAATACAATTCATCAACTATCATTTTAAAATGACTAATTACCCAACATGTTAATTATTAAGCAAGTAAAATTCAAAATCAATGAAGCAACTATAAATCAACATCGAAAAAGGCATACTTGAGAGAAGCTATACGATCAATGAGCACTGTAGGTACAATTTCATGCTGTTATAAAAGTATAAAGAAGAATGATCGTCAATAGCATACTAAATAACATGAAATAACACATCAAAATCAACAAATAAAAATATATTTAAGAAAGAACAAGAGAATGAGTATATACATTCCTCATGCCCATCTCAACAGCAGTGAGAACCCTAAATTCTTCTTTGCTGAGATATCTCAAGACTTCCACATCTAATTTCATCTTCACCTATTCTATACCTACAACAAGAAAAACACAGACAAAGATAAGCAACATCAGAATTAAGGTTAAAATATGAACAATTAAGGCAAAGAATTGAAAGACAAGCAAATAACTTGTATACTGACAACTGGACAGTGTTAAAGGTGAACCACAGAGGTTGGTGCGGTGGTTCTGCAGCCAATGCAAGGGATGGAGAACATAACAAGGAGGAAGTTATTAACAATAAAAAGAGAGCACAGCAGAGTCGGTTTTGTGCATTTGTTTCACGTTGACGTATTTTAATAAATTTAAATATTAAATATAATGTGGAACAAACCAAAAACAATTTGGTTCAGTTCAATTTGGTTTAATAGGTTTTGAAATAGAATTCAGAAATTTATTTTTTTTCCTTTAAAGAGCCAGAAATCTGACAAGATTAAAACAGTACAATCAAAAATAACACAACAAGTTCATACAAAATTCAATAAATGCAAATAAATCTGAAAAAAAAAAACCATGAAAATATCAAATCATTTAATAATACAATATCACATTTCTATAATCTCAAATCATTTCCTCATCAAATATTCATTTAACAACCATGTTGTATACAATGGCCATACTCCTAAATGAGATAAGGAGAAAAAAAAGAAGAATTTGTACAGAATTGTAAATTGGAGACTTCATTGGCACATTTTCAATGGCAATAATGGGAATAGATTAGCAATAAAGCATTCAAGTACAGCATAAAACTGAACAGTACAAGCAAAATTCAAGTTCAACAAAAGATAGTATTGTTCTTGCATATCTAAATCCCGTAAACTGCTTTTCTTTGCGTTATCTGACATTATAAATTATTCCTGTTTGGTTCCTTTGGTACGAGTTGTAAGCTCATCACCAAATTATGATTTGTATAAAACAATAAACCTCAAAACTCATAAAGAAATTCTAATTAGAAACCAAACCCCAAAAAAAAAAAAAAAAAAAAAAAAAAAAAAAAAAAAAAAAAAAAAAAAAAATCAAGTATCAAATTAGGAAACTGAGAATATATGCACCATTAATTTACGCTGTTCTAGTGAGCATCTTAAAATAAAGAACTAAAAAAGGCAACAGAGAGACAATGCCAACTCTTTGAATTTAAATGGCGAATTAAGGACATTCATGTATTTATTAAAATCAACCCAACCAATTCAAGAGCACAAGAGAAAGTCTATTTTCTATTAGGCAAAAAAAAAAAATTGAAAGAAACAAAACAGAGCTTCAAAACGAAATTATCGGTGATGGCTGATGCTGGCACTAAGCGCAATTTCAACAGAAAAAATAACTAAAATGAAAAATACAGCATATAACAATAGTGTGAAAGAGATAGTGAAAGTGAAACCAAACAATAATCATACGAAATATAGAGAATTGTGCAGAGCGCAAGCAAAGACAAAGAGAGAAGCTTCTTACCTTGAACTTCTTATGATTGATTATTTTTGGGTTTTGATTGTTAGGGTTTCAGCAGGAGATAATAAAAAAAACACAAAATTGTAAGAAGCACTGATGGTAACAGGAGGAGGACTGGAGGTGATGGAGGGCCTCGAGACGTCGAGCGAGCAGCAGTTCGAGACTCAAGAACAGAATGGCTGCGAGAAGAAGCATTCTAGAGAAGTCAGGTCAAGAATTTTGATTCCTTTTGCTAGGAGCAAAAGGCTGCATTTTGAGATTGGCCAAAATGCACCTTTACACTTTGGTTTCTCAATTTTTTGTGAGGGAAAAAAATCGAACTGAAAACTAAATGACAGAATTGATTTGCTGGAAAAAAAAAAAAAAAAAACCAAACCAAATAAACTAAATAGCTCAGTTCATTGCGTTTTTTATGAAAAAGATTTTTAACTTCTAATTTTTTTTTTTTTTTTTTTGACAATCAATACCCATTGTTTTTTTTTCCTTTGAATTTGTTATTTTAAATTAAATAGCTAATGTCTACCAAATTCACAAATCTATCAAATTGAACAGCAAAAAGAATGTGGTTCTGGTTGATGCTTCTAATTCTAAAATTCCCGAATTAATTAACTAATTGTCCAAATCACGCAAGAAGGATTGCAAGGAGGTATTAAGAAGGGAAATTGACTTGCCTGGTCGAATAGGATCACGGCAAAATGGCGTGAGTTGATCAGAGGAGTGAACCGCAATCAGGATCCGATCTTCACAAAAACAACCATGACTTTACCCAAGCTCGTTACGACTTTACCAAATCACTGTAACGAGAGCAAGAGGGAGACACACCAGTCAGACAGAAGCTGTTGGCCGACAATCAAAGGTGAGGATGGAGAGTTACTAAGGTTTGAGGGAGAAACTGTAGTTGCGGGAAGGGGAGAGAGAATTGAATGGCAGCGGGGCGAGTACCCGCTAGAAATAAACTACCCGAATCCATTATCACTTTAAGTACCCGAATCCGATAAAGAATAAACCAATAATACCCGGACCCGTCCCAAATCCATTTAGAATTACCGCATACTACCCGAACCCGTTTAAATACTCGTTTAATCACAAATTTATTCAATCTATAAAACCCAAACGCGGATCCAAACCCGAAGAGCAACAAAAAATGTATAAAAAATGAATTAAATTCAACTTCAAAATAATAAAACTATTTAACCTTTAAAATTGTAAAACAACAGTACATAGTAATATTAAAAAAAAACAAAAGAGTTGAAATTCAATCTATGTAAATAATTAAAACCAACATCTCAATTACACAATTTGACAATCAAACATCTATTAAAGTTCAATAAGAGTAATAACAATAACTGACTACAAATCAATTAAAATATAATAATACTAAACTGTAACAAATTATCATAAAATGAAAACTAAATCTATATAAAACATAATAAAAAGTATCTCAAGAAAAAGAAATTACTGAATTAAAAAGTACATTAAAACAGAACAACCCAACAGCAAAAACACAAGAAATTTTACATAAATATAATATTCTTAATACAAACATAATTCTTGAACTCCACTTATTCAAGAACCAAGATTGCAAAGATTAACAGTCAACATCATCTTCTTCTGCACAAAAAACAAAAACATTCGACTCCGCACATGAACAAAAATCTGGGAAATAAATAAATAAGAACTTTGATATTATAATAATTTGATAAATTTCCTATCTAAAATTCAATGAGTTTAGTAATTTCCTATCCAAAGGCAACAGTTTACTTGGAGCAAATTAAACTAGCAAACTCAGTTTAGAAAAAGTTTTAAGCAACAGTTTATTTGGAGCGAATTAAACTAGCAAATTCAAAGTATGGCAATATGACAAAAATACTTACATGTTCAAGCTATCCAAGTCACCCCTATATCATTCACAGTATATGACAAGTATATGCAAATAATCTCATTCTGCAAATAATCTCATTCTCCATATCTCCACACAATCTTAATCATTATTAACAAACTAAAATTTGAATTAACAAACCAAACATGTCAAATTTCACTCATATAGCCACGAATTGGCTTATATTCACCTCCTTTTGTCTTTTAATATATATATTTTCAACAAATAAAACATGCACAAACCCACAAACAAAAAAATAAAACAATAAACATATATCTCTCGGCTGAACCCACAAATTAATTCGACAATATATTCGACTCTGTGTCTGTTTATATGTATTTATATAAAAGAAAAAAAAAAGAAAAAGGAAAAGGGACGAAGCAAACGAAAAAAATAAACTGATAACACAAATTAGTTCAACAATATATTTAACAATTCCTCCTCTTTGTCTGTTTATATGTATTTATATAAAATAAAAAAAAATTAAAAAAAAAAAAAAGGAAAAGGGACGAAGCATAATGAAAAAAAAAAAAAATCAAGAATGAACCTGGCACTTGTACGCTTGAAGAGCACGACTGCTGCGGAGGCGACGGCAAGGTATAAAGAAAGACTCTGATCTGTGGCTGTAGAAGGAGAGAACGAGCGGCGTAGCGAGTCGGGAGAGAAGAGAACGCTTGACTTTGATTTGAAATTTGAGAGGAGTTAGAACCCAACGCTAACCTAAAACGACATAGTTTTGTTTGTGGATTCATTTAAACCTCCTACACCAGAACTACGTCGTTTTGATGGTAAAATAATAATTATTTTATTATTATAGCTAGCTATTAATTAAAACGTTATAATTATATTTCAATAATATAGTAATTGTTATAACAATAATATTAGGTAAAGTATTAATTTTAATATTTTTTATTTTTTTGAAGGTAGTTTAATATTTTTTTATTAAAGAATATACTTAATAAATTATAATTAATTACGGTTGTTGTGATCCTTAATCTATATGCACTAGATTTTTAAACCAATATATATTTTTATCTTTGGGACATCTATGTTTATAGTATAATATTATTGGTTAATTTATCTATAAGGTAAAATTCTAATATAATTAGGAGCTTTGTAATATTCTAATTAAGATATCAATTTATTATTTATTATAATAATATTATATATTTAATTTCATTTTAATTATGAATTTATCTTTTAATATTATTCTAATAAGGAATTTGTCCTATCATATCGTTGTATATATGTTTAATTTTAATTGCTTTTGACTATAAAAAATTTGTTGTTTTTTACTATCAAGAATTATTATATCAAGCTTTTGCTAATGTTGAAATTATTGAGTTTGCAATCATATCTTTTTATTGCGTAAGTATAATCTCATTGTGTGAATTAATACCATAATCTCTACCATTTGGTTTCATAATCTATAAGAAAATTATTATTATCATTACGTCTTTTTGTTCTAACCCAAGAATATCTAATTATTTTATTTTGTATTTATATTATTTTTGTTAACATAGTAATATTTGTAGTTAATAATATTATTTGGATTTCATTTTCAAAAAAAAAATATTATTTTGATTTGCTGATTTAATTTTTATTTTAATATTGAAATCACTTAAAACGTCCTTAATAAGTTTATAGATTAATAAAAATATCATTAACAACTTTAATTTTATTGATTCAAAGATAAAAATAATTTTATTTTAATAGGTTTTATTATATTATTAAGGACTTTAGTTTTATTGGTTAAAAATTAAAGAAAATTTAATTTTGATTGATTTTATTATATTATTAATTTTCTATTTGAATCTAAATTATTTTTTGAACAGTATATTAATTAGTTAGTTATTTCAATTCATTATATTGATTTTGTATTTAACTTTAAATTTGTTGTTTTTAATTGTGCTATTATTGTAATCTATTTCTAATATATCTATATTAATATAACACAAAAGTACAAATGATAAATAAGCATAACTAATATATACTAATATGCATAACTAATACGTAAATGATTTTTCTGCTTCTAATGATTTTTAATTATACAAATGGATTTTTAGTTCACTTCTAATGATCTTAATGTAAATGAAAAAATAAGCACAATATTAGAAATACTATATAAAATTAGCCTATTTATATTACTGTAAGTAAGCAATTAAATTTTCAACTGACTCTACAAAATAATTATGCTAATCAACATGTAAGGCTTAATTTAATATAATTATAAATTGATATTTTATTATATTTATTAATAATACAAAATTATTTAATGAGTATTCACGTGAACGCACGTTGTAAATACTATGTATATTAACTCGTAAAACCAATTAGATGATATATCGAGAATATAAAATATAAATGGGGGTGGGAACATTGAGATCGCCAAAAACATCCCTGTTAAGTTTATATTAAGAATTTTAATTTTATTTATTAAAAATTAATGGTAATTTAATTTTTATTAATTATTAATTTTCTATTTAAGTCTAAATTCTATTAGATAAATTAATAAATTATATTATTGAAATAACCCGATTTTTTATTTTTGAAACTTTTGAATTTTTATTAAATTAAAAATCAGAAATTTTGACTATATGGGCTGCGAATAGAATACAGTCTCGATTCGAGCCCAATGCCAGCTGGGCCCAAGCCCAAAAATATATTATCGGAATCTTCGATTTGAGAACACTTAAAAATTTTTAGGAAATAATATTGAACTCCAGTTACTAATCCATTATAAAATATATTTATATATGTGTGATTATTATATGAATTAATTATCCAAAAATCAAGTATCATTATTATTATTGTTTTTATTGTTATAGAGTAAAATGGAGAAATGTTACGGAATCTAACTAAATTAATCAAAATAAATCGAACCGGACTCGAAATTCAAATTGATTTTTCGAAAACCACACGAATAACCTGAAAACCAAGTGAAAAACCTGCAAACCGAGCAAAATCGAGCCAAATCATTGAATCGTCCAAATCGATTTGAATCGAACCGGAATGATCTAGAAACCGACTTAGTTTCTTCTTTTCTTCCTCTCTTCTTCTTCTGCGCGCGCGACAGCCTCCTTCTCCTCCCTTTCCTTCTCATTTTCGACCACCGCTCGACGAGAGCGAGGTGGCGATTGCCTTCCCTGGAGTCTTTGATCCATTTTCCGGCCTCCTTCCCCGCTAGCAGAGCCTCCAGTGGCGCGAACGAGACTATCCCCATCGACAGTTCTCGTTCTTCGATCTCTAGCGATACTAGGCGATTCTGGCAACGTGAAGCTTCAAGGTGAGCTCTGATTGATTCCTCTGTCTTGTGTGAACAATTTCCATCCAAGAAACGACGGTTTTGGTGGAAGGGGAAACTGGAACCTGGAACCACCATGAATGGCGGTAAGGGGCGGCTATCAAGCTTGTTTTGACCAACTAGAGGGTTGATCTCACTAAACCAACGCCGGAAATGGAATCCTTGGTGAATTTCGAGTTGAATGGTATGATCGTGGCGAATTTCTGGACATTATTGATTTTCTGGCCACCGTAAACGGCGGCAGCGACGACGTTCCGGTGACCGGCAGGCGAGACTCCGGCGAGGCACCAAGGACAAAATTTTCCTCTCTTCGCGAGGATCGTGGAATCGTCACCCAAATTTCAATTGGTACGTTTTAAGACCAATTTTCTATTTTTGGTATAAATAATTCTAAACCTTAATAATTATTAGTTGATTAAATAATTTATGAATTAATCAATCAAATTAAATTTTTTGCGATCAATGGTATATTGTAGATGCAAATTTGTTGTGCATATTGTTTAATATATTTCGATGAAACATTAGTTACGACTAGAAGGTTCGTATTAAGATAAGATTCCCGATCTATATTTATGTAAGCTATTAGGAATTTTAATAAATATTGATAGGGGAGAGTTATAATTTAAGGCTTAGACAAGTAAATAATTATAGAGCAATTAATAATATCATTGGATCATGCTTGGAGGTTAATATAAACTGTTAATTAATTGATTTGGAATTATTAAGTGTATAAATGTGAGTGTGATGGATGACAATGTAGCCTGAAGCGAATGGGTTGATTCAATTGACTGCCCGATGAATGGGCTGTGTGAATTGAGTAATCGAATGATTGATAAATAAGGTTATGGCGGACGGGATGAGTTGTTGTGAGTTGCCCGACGGATGGGCTGTGTGTATTGATTGATAAATATATAATTTTATTGTGATATTTAAATAGGTAGATAGTCATATTTATAGAACCTAGACTAGTTTTAATTAATGACATAATTAATAAGTTTATTTAGATTAATTATATAACTTAATACATAATAAATAGATTATTTATTTTATCTTTATGTATCATTTAATTATTTAATTATTTTCATTATTATTGTTATTATTTTGTTATTATTTATTTGTTGTTTATTGTTAAGTACTATTTTTTATTTATTTGCATTATTTGGTGTTTAATTTATGCATTGCATTACGAATGTTTATTGATTATAGTCTGCATCTGAGTTGCATGTTTGATTAGTATGTGTTTGTGATAATGATATGCTTTGTTTACGTGGATGTGATGATGAAAGTGGTCACCATGGATTTTTGTGAGACCATTACCGTTATATGGATCCTGATTACCGTTACCGTTATATACCGTTACCGTTATATGGATCCTAATTATGATTACCGTTAGCCGGGTGAATGGGAGATCGACGCCCCCGTGTGCACCTACCGTTACCGTTAACCATAGGATGGCCGCTTGTTGTTACGCACCTGAAAATCTAGATTTGATCGCAGCCTGCAGGATGGCCTCCTGTTGTGTGCACCTGATGATCTAGATTGGATGGAGACCACTGAGTTGCCTCCTGTTGGTAAATATATAAAAAAAAAAAAAGAAAAGAAAAAAAAAAATGGGAAAACATGAGAGGCTGGTCAGTGAGGATTTAGATCGGATCGGCCGTATGGGGGATCGGGCTCCCTGTGCACCGTGAGTGGATGAGCATGTGGAGAGGGGGTCATCGGAGGGTTTCGGTACGCCACTGACTGACTTCCACGTATGTGATTATATAAGGATGTTAATTGATTGTGAGTGTTGTGTTATTTGCCATTTGTGTGACTGGTGCCAGTGAGCATTAACTAGTCGGATGACTAGATTGATTATTTATACATTTACATTTGTGTGAATGCGTGTGTTGTGCAATAAGTATTACTTCTTAGAAGACTCACATATCTTGTTTAATTTTTCAGGAAGTAAGTTTCTCTTTAATTCGGTTATGTTCTTTCGCCGCAGTGCTAGAAGAAAATTTTCCCAGTTCCATAATTATTTTACTATGTAAATTTATGTATAAAAAAGCTATGTATACCAAATAGTTAGTGACTTTGTAGTTGTAGAATGTGCGTTCAATTAGTCGTGTATTAACATAGACGATATAATTATGTGAGCCCATATTAAAAATGTGATGTTTTGTTAATTGGGCCCGAACTATGAAATGTTGTAGCTGATAAATTTGGGACAAGATTTAATAAAATCTTGAGGTTTATTTTCCTATAAATATGGGCTGAATGTTTAAAATTATATTGTGATTCAGGCTTACTACGGGCCTCGGGGGTCTTAAGTTTACCTGGGCCCTAGTGCCGGTCCGACCCATGGAAATGGGTCGTGACAGATACAAATATATTTTTTATTTTTTCAACCAAT